CTGGGAGTTGAAGTCCACAAGTCTTAAAGTTGCCAAGGTTGGACACCCCTGGGCTAGATACTATATAAAAGTAAGAAGCTGAGGCTGTATGTTATTCTCTTGTTCTACTGTGTTAAAAAAAAATGAGTCGGAAGTCAGTGCTTTGCTTTTTCCTCCCTTACTTTCCCATCATTTCCATTTTTCTTTGTGTTTTATATTTTGATAAATGAATCAAAGTCCCCCCCCCCCCCCCCCAAAACAAAGAAGAAGAAGAAGAGGGCGCGTAGAGGGACGAAGAACAGTTGCCCTCAAATTCTAATCAGTCTGTTGGGATCGGGTTGCCTTCTAGTAACCATGCCAAGAAAAGATGAAAGTAGAAGAGAGGCCCACCACGTGAATCTGCTCCACAGGGGGTCTCGCCCACCCCCACCCCCCTTTGCCACTGGAGGGGCCTGCACACCTTACTCCACTTCCCTCTTTCCTTTCAGTGCCTCCCACCGTTCGTTCTCGGCAGGGGACGGTCAACGCCACTGCCAATCTCAGCCAGTCAGTCAAACTGGTGTGCGATGCTGACGGCTTCCCAGAGCCCTTCATCAGCTGGACCAAGTAAGCAGGGGTTGGTGTGTGGCGGGAGGAATGGGAGGGGGGACTTGCTCCCGTATTCATTGGTGTCCCATCGTTATTATTTTTATAAATAACTCAAGGTAGCAAATGCATCCAACACATCTTCTTCCGCCTTGTACTTTCCCTACCACAACACCACTGTGAGGTGAGTTGGGCTGAGAGAGAGAGGGACTGGATAAAGTCATCCTGCTGGCTTTCATGGTTAAGGAGGGACTAGAACTCACCATCTCCTGGTGCTTGGCCCAAAGTCACCCAGCCAACTTTCGTGGATATGGCAGGACTAGAACTCATTGTCTCCTAGTGATTGGCCCAAAGTCATCTCGCTGGCTTTTGTGTCTAAGGCGGGACTAGAACTCACCATCTCCTGGTGATGGACCCAAACCCAACAGGAATCATGCCTAGAATTTATTGTCTCCTGGTTTCTGGTGCCTTCATCACTGGACCAAAGTGCCTCCCTCTTCCCATGGTACACTAATGGGTCCTAGTACTATAGAAGACCAGTGATCTCAGAGCATATTTATTTATTAAATTTATATGACACGCATCTCTCTATCGAACGACTCCAGTCAGTTTACAACACTCTAGGAAAGCAGCCCAGCTAATTAATGCCTTGGCCATGATTAAGTTGCATGAAAAAAAAAAGCATGAGGAATTGACTGTTTTGCTCACAGAAGCTTTGTTGTAATTGTAAGCCTTCTAGAGTCACAACGACTCTGGCAGCCTCTGAATTATGTACAGAAACCAATCGTTGTCTCAGATAACGTCCATTTCTGCCCATGGGCTTTCTCTCCCGCAGGGATGGAGAGCCAATAGAACGAGGGGAGGATGAGGAAAAGTACGGCTTCAGTTACGATGGCTCTGAGCTGACCATCCACAGAGTGGAGAAGAACGACGAGGCTGAGTACGTGTGCATTGCCGAGAACAAAGCGGGCGAACATGATGCCACTGTCCACCTCAAAGTCTTCGGTAAGCTGTCCTCACAGCTCTTCGGTCTTTCTTTTTGTTTTCCTTCAAAGCCAGAGTCTTGGCAGCTGGATTTGGCTTATTAACTAGCAAGTCAAGGACAGAATTAAGTCTATTTCAAATACGTTCCATTACATGTCCACTTTGTGTGTGTGTGTGTTTTTTTTAAGTTTCTAGTGTCAACTCACAAAACATATTGTATACACATTTTATAGTTGTCAACAGAAAGAAGGGGGCAGTTTCAAAGAGCAGGCAGCAGTGTGGTATCGAAAGTACATTCCATTCATATTTTCTTCAAAGACTGATTAGATGACTGAAGTTTCTGCCGCGCAAAAATCTAATTGGAGAGCATGATTGATGGCTCTTGGCTATGGACGTGTTTCATTGGATGGTACACCTAGGGGTGTGTGGGGGAAAGCAGGGTTAAGGGCGACAGTGAATCATGTATCTCAAAGTTGGCTATGCCCAGGCTAATGCCAGCATGTTAACTTCTAATAAATCCTTTTTAGTTTTGGGAGTGTGGCTTGAGGCTCATGATTTAATTGGAGTAACTGCTGGAATCCTGACGTCTAGTCCATTAAGTCCTGAAAGGAGTGTGCCTAGTGAATTTCCCCAGACTGAATCGCTTTACTGCTGTTTTCTGGGGGTGGGGAAGATGACAAAAACTTGGTTTGTTTGGTTTTTACCCCGCAATTAATTTAGACCCATTCGAATATGCAGAATGTGTCCATATAGGCAAATTGCCTCATGTACTTTTGCGGGGATCGTATGGCACTTTTTATAGTAGCCCCCTTAGCAATCAGGGAGCTTCTCCTTAACAATGAGCTACCAGGAGAAGGGGGGCTTTGCGATCTCCAACTGCCAAATCAACTGTGGTCTGTCTCTGTTTCTTTTTAACCCTCTTCCTTTAGCAAAACCCCAAATCACCTTTGTGGAGAACAAAACTGCAATGGAGCTGGAAGAGCAGATCATTCTGACCTGCGAGGCCTCTGGCGATCCCATCCCCTCCATCACTTGGAGGACCTCTTCCCGAAACATCAGCAGTGAAGAGAAGGTATGGCTTTCTCCTAGACCCTCCTGTTCTTAGCCCCAGGTAGTAGAAACCAAAGACGGAGGGAGAGACGGGATTCTGTGCAGCTGTGCACGCTGAAACCAAAGCTTTGAACGTCAGGCGTAGATAATCATAATTTGTGCTCAGGCAATATCAGAAATAGCTCCTGAACCTCTGAAAGCACCTAGTGCTCCAGTGCTGAAGGAAGCTCATTGTTGATGTGGAATTGGACCAGCACAGGAAGCCCACTCCCAGCATGGAAATCTGGCCAAAAGTCCTATCTGAATCCAAACCTGGAGCCACAAAGCCTTCATCAACTCGATGCCTTGAAGACATGATTGCAATTTTTTTTTTAAAGCAAAAAAGAGGACTTTCATGCAGGAAATCAGGAAAGTCACAGGAAAACTGCTAAGTCAGAGAAGATAATCTCTACCCTGTTTGTGAAGTGGCAAGCTACAGATCCAAGCACAGACAGCAGGACTTCTCCTGGGAGGCTGTCTGGAGAAATGGCAGTAGTAGTCTAGCATAATGTAGAGCAGGAGTGTCCAACCTTGGCAATTTTAAGACCTGTGGTCTTCAGGTCCCAGAATTCCACAGCCATTCTGGGAGTAGAAGTCCACAGGTCTTAAAGTTGCCAAGGTTGGACCCCCCTCCTGTAGAAAATAGTGGGGCTCAGAGAGAAGGCCTTGACTGAGAAAAGCTGCCTAAGCACCACAATGACAGGGTGCAAATCTATACTCAAGAAACCAGCAAGTGACACCACATGTCTCATGGTGCCATTGTGGACAGAAGACCTCTGATGTCATGATGGTTTTTCATTCCAGAAGATGAGGGTGATCGACTCGTTGCGCACTTCCTTATTTTTCCATAGTCTTCTTGACCTAAATTTGAAACTAGCATTTTGAAAGGGACTAATGCCAGTCTCCTAACCAAATGAATCCAACCTCAATGTCTTTTTTTTTAGAAGTGTTAATAGTTTATTTGTGTCACTTAACAAAATAGAAAGAAAATGAACAGAAGAGAAATCCAGATCAAGCCAATATTTGGTGTGATCACCCATTGTCTTCAAAACAACATATTTATATTTATTTACTGTATAAATAAATACAAATATTACACACAGAGAGAGAGATACATAGATGATAGGTAGATAGATAGATAGATAGATAGATAGATAGATAGATAGATAGATAGATAGATAGAAGATAGATAGATAGATAGATAGATAGATAGATAGATAGATAGATAGACAGACAGACACAGGTGATAGATAAATAGACGGATAGATAGATAGATAATAGATAGAGCTAGATGATAGGTAGATAGATCATAGATCGATAGATAGATAGGCGGATAGACAGACAGGCAGACAGATAGATAGACAGATAGATAGATGATTGATAGATAAATAGACGGAAAGAAAGAAAGAAAGAAAGATAGATAAATAGATAGATGATATAGACAGACAGACAGATGATAGATAAATAGATAGACGGATAGACAGACAGACAGACAGATAGACAGACGAATCGATAGACAGACAGATAGATAAACAGTCAGATAATGTGATGACCCAGGGTGCACCCTCAATGTCTTGAAGAGGTGGTTGGAAGTTGAGCCATCCAGCCGTGACCAAGAAGAGCCTTGCAACAAACAAAGAGGTGATCGGAATCAACTTGATTCCAGTCTTGAATGCTCTGGCTTCAGCGTGCACTGCCATTCCAGCAGTTCTTGCCAAGTTTATAAGTCGCCTTGAGGGGGTGAGGGGCAAAGGAGAACCCGAAAAAGTTTTTTTCTGGAACACCATTAGCTTGTGGATGGTTCTTTTCCCCTTTTCTCTTGATCGCCTGCATTTATACTCGCGCTGCACATAATTTCAGGCACAAAAGCCATGGCTGCCTCTGTGTTTGCTTGTTACCTGTCATTGCTCACTTCTGGAAGTTGTTTCTGTCCTTACTGGCAAAAATAATTAGCAGTTTGGAAAGGGAAAAAAAACCAAGCCTGCCAGGTGGGATCTGGGTTTTGTCTCCTGCCCTTGGGATCTGGTGGGAAAGGCAGATGTTTGCAGAACCTGAGATCCAAAGTCCCATAGCTACAAGTCCTGCACTAATGCTCCTATTAAAAGGAGAAGGAATTGAGATCTGAACTCCAAGGCTAAAGAGCATCACAGCATCATATTAAGAAAGGGCTCCCCTTCTTGAGGGCTTCCTACTGATCAGGATATTGCCTTGATAGACCAATAGGTGGGCTTTGGGTACACCAAATGGATCGGACTCTTTTGTACCATACAGCAAGGTTCCCCAGCCTCATGGCCTGTTAGGAACGGAGCCACGTGAAACCCTACTGTAAATGGCACCTGCGGGGAATCTAGATTGTGCACAAAACCATCCCTCCCCCATTGTTCTGTCTTAGGCCTCCCCAAAAAACACTAAGTCAATTCTGAGTCCCGGCAAAAACCTCTTTTATTACATTAATGTGAATTAATTTCATTCACTGTCAGTCAAAGGCTTGGCAAACAGTCTTGTGAAGGTATACGAAGGAGCTTAGACCTTTATCAATCCTGGAACTCTCCCCAGTAAATAGTTCCACACTCAGTGCTGGCAGGGAAGGGCTGGGTTATACAGACAGATCTCCACAAGGCTGGAACAAACGAACGAACGAAAGAACGAGTTGTTTTCTGCAAAAGCTCTCTCCTCTTTGGCTTCTCTTTTAATCCTGATGGGAGGGGCCATTCACTGTCCACCTATGGCCTTACTCCCACGTCGACCCTGAGTTCTTAATTGTGCCTTCCTTTTGGCAGTTCTGCGCATGCGCAGGCTGGGAACCGGTTCCAGAAGCTCCCCTGCCTCACAGCTGTCCGAGCCTGAAGGCAGCTGATGACTGCTAGCCTGTCCTGGCCCCATCTCTGCCTCTGATGCAGAGCCCTTGTCTGAGCCTTCCTCAGCCTCCAGGAATGGCCCAGGTTCCTCTCTAACCTCCTCACTACTGTCTGATTCTGCTGTCAGTTCCGCCAGCCGCCGGTGGTCCACAACAGCCATCCCCATCCCTCCTCCCGGTCCATGGAAAAATAGTCTTCTGGGAAACATCCTTGGTGCCAAAAAGTTTGGGGAACACTGCCGTACCGGAATAATCATGGCACATGAGATGAATCATTTTCAAGGACAGTACGACTTGTTACTGGATTGCTGGAGATCATTTTTGGCAAGGCTCGTTCTTGGGCCTTCTAGTTTTTAGAATTCACAAGGAGAAACAAAATAGCTCAGTTGTAGAAATCCTTTTGACTCCAGCTAGGATTGGAAAGGCTTCAGATCTGATCATCCGAACAACCCCTTTGCCCTAGTGCAGAGCCTTACCTGGCCTTCTTGCCGGACAGGTGTTTAGACTCAATAATCCAACATCAGTTCAAGGAAGGCTGGTGTAGAACTGACCTAGCTAGACCTGGCTTAAGGGAAGGCAGCTCCACAATCTTTCAGCATTGATGACATTGGGAAGGGATGGTGTGTTTCACACAGAGAATAGTACAAAGGAACAGGTAAGTTCACCACGACATTTTTCCCTTGAAAATACTACTGTTTTGTAGAGGACTCTTCCAAGAATGGCTGTCAAACTGCTAACTATTTTTGAAACATTCACCTCTATGGTTGGACAATTGATACCAAAGAACTGCGAAAGTTCTTTCTTTCTTTCTTTCTTTCTTTCTTTTTTAAGGATTACTTTCTGATGTGGAGCCAGTGAGCTGGAAGTCTTGTTTGATGCATGCTGCTGAGAGCTGCAGCTGTTATTTTGCTTTCAGCAGTGTGGCCTCTGCATTTTATCCTGGTTTGTGCATTTCTCAATTGCCTGCGCTGTGGCATTCTTGCTAATGCAACGCTGCCTTCCAAGTGCAGTGCAGCAGAATGATAGTGAAAGGATCCTTGGGGGTCATCAATGCGCAAAACAAACATCAACCATTATTATCAATGGCTGTTTCAAAAGAAAAGAAGGAAGAAGGGATCAATTTATTTCAGCTTTTCTTGATTGAGCGCCTTCCAGATGTTTTGCACCAATCTGGATGATTGATAGAAGAGGCGGAGGTTTGGTTTAGCACACTATGCAAAATAATCGCCTTTGTTTTTCAGTGATTTTATGTTGTTTATTGTTACATTGCCATCTTTTCTCTTGAGACACGTTCATGGGAAGGGGGGAATCTCCCTTCATTTTATCCTTGCAGTGGTCATCCTGTAAGATAGGTAGGGTAGAAAAAATACACGACTGGCCCAGAGTCACCCGATGAACTTAGTGCTTAAATAGGGACTTCAACCCAGGTCTTTCTTAACCAGCTACTGTGCCCTGTGGATGGAATCACCAGTTGATGATGTTTAACACCAACAACAGGTGTTTTATTTTTCCCGCATCTTTGCTCGAGGTTAATCTTCTCCTCTGACCTCTGTGGGCTTAGCACAAGCCCTGGGTTTACAAGATCTCTTCGGCTGATAGCAGAGGGCATGAAACCTTTAGCTGTAATTCCCCTGCTTTCCTTCTAACCATCCCACCCCTGCGTCTGTTGAAGGCAATTGCCACAGCAGAAGCCAGTCCAAAACAATCCTCCTTCTACCAATTCTGTCCAGATGGAATTGAAAATCTTAGGCTCTCAGGTTGGCCGTTCCTAATTTTGAGCATCTAAAATTAATGGTTCAGGAATTGAACAGAGGTGGCTTATCATGTCTTTTAGATCAGGGCTGGCCAACCTTGGCAACTTGGAGACCTGTGGACTTCAACTCCCAGAATCCCCCAGCCAGCATAGAATAGCGTAGCTGGCTGGCTAGGGAATCCTGGGAGCTGAAGTTCACAAGTCTTCAAGTTGCCAAGATTGGCCAGCCCTGTTCTAGAATGCCAGAGCTTTGATTGTAACTGCTTGGGGTAACAATTCTTTGCTGAATTTTGCAACCACCACTGTAGGTAAAAACAATGGTAGATTTTGTATAATTATTCTTTTTAAAAAACACACAAAAATGATGTTACTTTGGTCAGTCAAGTGTCATGTTATAAAAAGGGCTATAAACCTGGGGAATAGAAATAAGTATGATTCTCTTTTCCAGAAGTCCCCTGCGGAAGATTCTGCTACATAACTCCGTCGCTTATTTACATTTTACCACTCAAATTTGCCGTGGTTATTTGTAAAGCGGCACATCAATTTACAGCACTTTTTATTTTGAACTTTCATCTGATTGGAGGTACCTCCATCCGGAAAAAAAAAATTACATACCTTTTTAAACATGATCTTCAAATATCCAGCTCACTTTCCACCCCCCTCAGAACTGCCAAGCAGAGGTGGGTATTCAGCAGGTTCTGACCAGTTCTGGAGAACTGGTAGTGGAAATTTTGAGTAGTTTGGAGAACCGGCCAATCCCACCTCTGACTGGAGATTGTACAGTATCCTTACCCCGCCACGCCCACCGAGCCAAGCCCATAGAACTGGTAGTAAAAAAAAATGGAATCCCATCACTGCTGCCAAGGTTCTTCTGTGAGAGTTATCCACATAAATATAATTTAAAAATAAACAGTGGGCTTGTAAACTATGTTTCTACATGTTGGAAATTGCTTCCTATTCCTGTTCCTTATCAAAATTAGGCTCAATAGGCTCATGAAAATAGAGAAATGCATTTCTGGAGCTGTATAAGGAGTTTCTGAAGCCTCTTTGGTTCGTAGCTGATACTTAATTTCTTTTCCATGGTCCTCTTATTATATTTGGGGAAAGCATCAGACAGACTGAGCGTTAATGGCCCTTTGGATGGATTTCATTTCAATTTTGTGTTGTTAAAATAATGCAGGCTGGAGGCCTTTTCCTCAGATTATGGCATTTGACTGTAACAATGAGATGTCTGTCCACCTCTAACCGAATTTAAATTTCTGTGTGAATATCTGGAGCCGTTGTTACTTGAAATATGGATTGGATTCTTCTCTGGTGAAGAAAGGGGTTTCTCACCCCTCTTGGCAGCCTCTAAATCAGGGATGTTTAAGTTTAGCCATGTTAAAAAACTGGTGGACTTCAACACCCAGAATTCCCCAGCCAGCTGGCTGGGGAATTCTGGGAATTGAAGTCCACCAGTTTTAACATTGGCAAGCTTGGATACCCCTGACTTAAATCAAAGTTAAGACACAGGAGGTTTTTTTTTGTTTTGTTTTCTAGTGGAGCTGGAGTTGTGGATGTGGCATGCGAGACAGCGGTCATTGTTCACTGGGGAAGCCTTGGGGTAACCATGCCGTGTTGGTCCCCCTCTCCTTGCAGCATATCATTTGTCGCTTGGATTGTCTGGTTTTTGTGTCATGCTTGCTGATTGTGGACCCCTTCACCGCAGCAGATCAAGTTGGGAAAGTCACAGGTTGACCGACAACACAACCTGAATGCTTGCAAAAAATATGAATCTCCCAGCATCCGTTTCCCCCCCAGTAGCTTTGCGGCATTTGATGAGCTGAGTCTCTGAAAAGAACCAATAGATATTTGGGGAATGGAGGTAGCTTTTCTTCCATTAGTGGGTCACCTTCCTTGCACTTCCTGTCCCAGCTATTTGGACTGTGCATGAGTACGGAATGAAGGGGAAATGCATAAATGGTGGTAGCTGAAATGGAGGCAAAGGGATGGGCTGGTGGCGGGAAGGACAACATAACATATGTAAGAAATTTATTATTCTTTGTGTGTCTGTGTGTGTGTGTTTCTGTGTGCGTGCATGTGTGTTTTATTTATCTATTCTTTCCAGGCTTCATGGACCAGGCCCGAGAAACAAGAGGTATTAGCTTACCAGACCAATAGTTCATTTTATCTAGCTTTACGTATCTATCGTTTGTAAATATTTAGCTGTTGCAAAATAACCAATTGATTGTAGAAGTAACAAAAGCAAACTAAAGGTAGTGTTAACAACGTAACTTCACTGATGCTGAGGATATAAATTCAGCCAGGAAAATATATATATATATCGGATAACTCAAAGCTGCATTCTCTCCTAGTGGATGTTGGAGTGAGCAAGCATCTTCTCTTAAAGTGGCTAGTTCTCACTTGCTCTTTGGGACGTTGGTGGATTTTAAAAAGGTCCCATGGTTTTTCCAGGACAATGTGCAACATCAAATTCACTAGGTTTGGAGCTGCTGAGGCACCAACGTCCAAAGCAGATTTCGTAAAATATGTAAAGCGCTTGCATTCCCTGGGACCGAAGCGATTCCTCTCTATCCACCACTTCATGTGTTTGCTCAAATGTTTGCTCATTTCTTTCCAATTAGACACACTCTGTTCTCTTTTACTGTTTGCGTCACGTTCCAGCTCAGAAGAGAAACAATGGCCCTGTCTCCTGGTTTCAGAAAAGGGCCTTCTAGATCAGGAGCCTGCAAACTTGACGATTTTCAAGACTTCTGGACTTCAACTCCCAGAATTCGCAGCCAGCATGGTTGGTAGCTGGAGCTTTAAGCAGCTCCTGGATTTTCAGGAAGAAAATCCCCCCTTTTCCATAGTTTTGTTCCCTCTGTTGCATTTGGGGAAAGCATCAGACAGGACTGAGCATCAATGGCCCTTTGGGTGGATTTGATTTCAATTTGGGGTTGTTAAAATAATATAGTCCAGAGGTTGGCTGGCTAGGAAATTCTGGGAATTGAAGCCTTAAAGTTGCCAAGTTTGGAGAACTTTGCTCTGGATCAGAGTTTCTGGCTTCTGGCCTGGATTTCTTGTGCATATTTAACAAGCCACCACATGTTCCTTAATGTGAAATGAATCACGTGGGTTAGTTCTTATCAAATTTGGATTTGGGGAGGGTAGCCGTGGCTTTGGTAAGACTCCAAATTTCCACTTCAGGCAGTGGGACGAGAATCGAAAGCAGAAGGAGCTTTTTTCATAAGATGCTCTCAACCTGAGCTTGGGCAGAGAGTGAACAAATCTTGCATTGCACAAAAACAGACGTCAACCAGATAGCGGCCTTTATGTGGTGGACGGAGTTTGGCCGGTCCACGAGGTTCTTCCTCTGTCCACAGAAGGGATCCGGTCTGTTTAGTGCGCAACTGATAACATGGGGATCGTTCTGCTCCCTTGAGTCAATTTTGGTCCAGGTGGAATTGAAAATCTTAGGTTTCCAGAATGGCCAGTCCCTAATTTTGAGGATCTGAAATTGGCGGTTCAGGAATTGAGCAGAAGTAGATGAAACGGCAAAGGCCTTTTCAAGGATGTGGTCTTTAAATTGCCCCTCCCACAGTCATGGGCTGCATCCCTTCTCTGATTTGCATGAGGTTGAGGTTGGGAATGGCTGCCAGGCCTGTTTTGGCATCTCTACAGCAGCCATCCTCTGCCTGCATCTGTTGCCATGGCAACACCTGATCAAACTGGGCCTTTCAACTCTGTGTGCGTGTGTGTTCTCTTTGGGGTTGGAACAAGCCTCTTCATGCACAAGAAAGCGGAAGGGAGGGGGGATGTTTCCCTTTGGGAATGCTGATTCGGGGAGGCCATACCTCTTTTGGGGTTAGTCATCTCTTTTCCAGTGGATTTGGGAAGGATCAATTGTGCAGATTTTGTTTGGATCTTTACATTACCTGTGAAGGGAGAAAGAGGAGATTTCTCCCTTTTTAGCCAGCCTATCATTCCCCTCAAAGAGAAAAAAGTTCTCATGAAACTGGCAGATTGGGAAGGAAGGGTACTGAAGTCCAGGCAAGGCTTCTAAAACCTGGTCTGTCTTACGAGAGGGATGGACATCGTGGATCCAGTGATATCAGGGAGCAATCCTCAACACAAGAACCTCTCATTCCATTCCAATCCTTGTATCTCCCTGCAATTTGTGCCAGGTTCCTTCTCCATCCCTGCCCACAATATTGCAAACCTTCCCTTCGTCTCCAATCTTGCTTGTTGCAACTCTGCTTCAAGGAGGCTGGGCTATCCTTGCTACAGCGTTTCCACCGACTTTCTGAGAAGTGTAGGCGCGAAACAAACCTAATTCACAATGGTTCCCCAAAGGAAGACAAGGAGGGAGAAATAGAAAGGTTCTGTGTTAGCAGCAAAGGGGATAAGGAAGCGGGGTTGGAAGGCACCTGCGTTGCCAACAAACCATAGGGGGCAAAAGGAAAGGAAAGGCCTGGGGTCCAGGGAAGAGGGAACAACACCTCAAAGGAAAAGGAGGCACTGATAGGCTGGACTATAGGGAAGCCGGCCAGCCAGACTTGCCTGCCTTGAAAAGATAGGAAGGACAAGAAGCAGGAGAGGGACCAATCAGGTCCATCTGGCAGCTTAGCCTACCCATTGAGGTCCAGACTGCAATGTCTGAAACTGGCTTATGAAAGTGCCAAGACCTCCTGGGAGGCCAGCAGCTTGGTCTGCAGGGTGGAATTGCCCTGCCGAAGGGGATATTTTTCTGCATTGCCTCTCTTCCAGAATTCGCACCTTAGCCGCCTTCTGAGACTTTTCCTCTCTTTCCTGCCAGACCCTAGATGGCCGCATCGAAGTCCGCAGCCATGCCCGCGTCTCTTCCCTGACCCTGAAGGACATTCAGTACACGGATGCTGGGGAGTACACCTGCATAGCCAGCAACACCATTGGGCAAGATTCTCAAGTCATGTACCTAGAAGTTCAGTGTAAGTTGAGTCGTTCCACCCTCGCTCTGAGTAGAGCCAACTCCTGCATTTCTCCTTTTTTCTTGCAACTCATGGGTGGTAAGGGTGATGATTGGCAGACCCGAGAGCAAGAATCAGAACAGGAAACGGTCATTTTGAACTAGAGATGGACTTTCAGGTGGTGGACTTTTATGGAATACCTGTGAGACTTGGGGTACGGTGGAAAGGGGAAAGAGAATGAGAAGAACAGGAAAATGGAGTACATAATCCACTGATATTGACCGGCCCTTATGGCCAAGTGTCAAGAATCAAAGGCAACAAGCCAAACTAACCCTGATAAATTCAAGCTTGTTATCAGTCTTTACACTGACGAAGTTTATATTTATCCATTGGGTTGAAGCCCGTGGACCTTTCATAAGCAGAGACAGCGTACCTCTGCAGTGTACTTCTGGTTGTAGTGTACTTCTACATATACTAAAGAAGTACCACTACATTGCACTTTAGAGTATAAGAATGGAGCAAAAAAGAAGGGGGATTTTTGCTTATGAAGTCAGTGGATGAGCTGGAATATCTTTGCTTCTGGGTGGCCACTCTTGGGAACAGGATGTGGAGTAAAGGGACCTGTAGCTGTGTTTGTATGTCCCATTGAAGATGCATTCTTCTTGGACATTTCCAGGGCTTCCTAGTTCCCTTGATTTCTCAACAATCAACTCTAGGAGATGTCTTGATCCTGGACAAAGAATTGACTGTATTAGCCTACAGACACAGTCAAGAGTTTGCATTTCAAGGTCCCTTGCCCCCAAATATATGAGTCACCCAAGATCTTGCAAGAAACACAGCATGGTGTATTTGTGGGTAGCATTCCCAAGATTCTTTGCTTTGGCCTTATGGGCTGGATCTGCCTGGAGTATCATTTAGAGCAGGGCTCTCCAACCTTGGCAATGTTAAGACTTGGGGACCTCAACTCCCAGAGCTTCGCTGGCTGAGGAACTCTGGGAGTTGAAGTCCACAAGTCTTAAAGTTGCCAAGGTTGCAGACCCTTGGTTTAGAAATCCATTTGTTGCCACGGCAGAATTATGCAAACAGGTCGGGTGGAAAGAAGGGATCAGAAGACATGGGGGGAGATGTCCTTCTTGATGCCTTCTCCTGGAGACTGACTTCCACGTTGCTTCTCCTTGGTTCCAGATGCCCCAAAGTTGCAGGGCCCTGTTGCGGTGTACACCTGGGAAGGTAACCCCGCAAACATCACCTGCGAAGTCTTTGCTTACCCCAGTGCTGATATCTCGTGGTTTCGGGATGGGCAGTTGCTGCCCAGTTCCAACTACAGCAACATCCGGATCTACAAGACACCAGCCGCCAGTTTCCTGGAGGTGAGCACTGAGAAGGGCGGGCTGCATCTCTGTGCGCACAGAACGAGGTGCAAAAGTTGGCTATGAAGGACAGGAAAACAAGCCAAAAATGGCATTGTTCATGCAACCCCCATCGGTTTAGGACATTTGTATCAACTGCCACTTAGCACATGTTTAAATTGCTTCGGACAGTTACTGCGTGTTAGAAGAGTGACACCCAAGGACTGTGAAAGTGTTCAGGAGTAGCTTTGCTGCCTCCTCAGCATCCCAGTTTGGTGCTGTGCAGGCTTTACACGCGTTGTGTTTGATCTCCCTCCTTCCAGGCTGATAGCTAGCTCACTCTTGTTCCTCTTCCTCCTCCATTAATTGAATCAGAATAGAGCTGGAAGGGACCTTGGAGGTCTTCTAGTCTAGCCCACTGCTCAATCAGAAGATCCTATACCAGTTCACACAGTCTCTTCTTAAAAACCTCCAGTGATGAAGCACCCACAGCTTCTAGAGGCAAGCTGTCCCACTGGTTAATTGTCCTCACTGTTAGGAATTGCTTGGTTTTGATTATCCCAAAGGTGCTTTTTCAAGAGGCAACTGGACTTTCTGGTTTTTCTTTGAAGATGTTCTTTCTTTGAAGCTCAGAGCTGAAGAAGCTTCTTGGATGAGAAGCGAAACGTCTTCAAAGAAAAAAAACATAGGAAGTTCACTTGCCTCTTGAAAAAGCACCTTTGGGACACCTGGAGGACGGAGAATCTCCATAACATCGGTTTTGATTAGTTACTTAAGTTAATAGGTGCCTCCACATCTCTTTCCGCAAATTCTATAAATTTGACGTGTGTGAAAATGTATTTTCCTTCCTTCTCTTCTGACTCTGTTCCTAAGCATCTTTGCTGACCACTTCCGGTAGCCTGAGAATGGCCAGGCCTATCGCTTTGCTCTGCATCGTGTGGACTTAGACAATCCTTAAACTGCCTTCTTTTCTTTTCTTTTAAAATAAACTTTATTGATTTTACTATTAAGATATACAAGCAACACGCACACACAAATAAGAAAAAAGAGAGAAAAACAAAGAAGAAAAAAGGGTAACCAGTTAAAAAAAAAGACATTGCATCATCAACATTTTGTGGTTCCTTATTTATGTTATTATTTTGTGCCATATTTACAATTGATCTTTTTATCTTCTTTTCTAATTGACCAAATCCAAAATGCTTCCTTCGTTTTCCTTCCTAAGAAGCATTTTTCTCTGGCTCACCTGGTCAATCTCCCTTTTTTTTCAGGTGACGCCATATTCAGAAAACGATTTCGGGAATTACAACTGCACAGCAGCCAACCGGATTGGCCAGGAATCCTCCGAGTTCATCCTGGTTCAAGCAGGTTTGTTTGGACTGGTTTTTCTCTTCCTTTGGAATAAATCAGGGGGTTCCAAACTTGGTGTCAATGTTTCGAGTAATGCACCCATTGAAAGCAGAACTCCGAGGCAGGCAAATTCCTCAAAGAACAATTTATTGGCACAACTGGTGAAAACCGACTCTGAAGTTCCCGTGGTTTTCACCTAATTAAAAAGTGAAAGTTCCCATTTCCCCTAGGTCACATTGTCCAATAGAGGTGCTGGTTGTTTGTTTGGTTACTCTACTCCTCCTCTTCTCAGCCACCGATTGAAATGTCCTTGATTCTCACAAGATTTTTTTTTGTTTTGACTACAAATCCCCAGCTAGTTATTTTCTCCTCGTCTTGTGGGAACCCCTGGAGCCGCAAAGATGGCCTCAGCTAGGTTTGTTTCAGGGTTGACACTTGGCAACTTTAAGACTTGTGTACTTCAACTCCCAGAATTCCCCAGCCAGCATGCCAACATATTCTGTTCAACCTCCCAAGCTCCCTCAGTGATTGGTTACTGCTGGGATAAAAATTTCAGCCTAGTCTATGCCTGACTTCCTTTTCTGGCTCCCTTCCTCCACAGATACGCCCTCTGCGCCTTCCATTGAGAAAGTGGAGCCATACTCCAGCACAGCCCAGATCAGATTTGATGAACCGGAGGCCACTGGGGGTGTCCCCATCCTCTGGTACAAGGCCGAGTGGCGAGCCACCGGGGAGGAAAACTGGCACACCAAAATCTACGATGCCAAGGAAGGTGAGGTGCCCAAACCTGTCCTACATTGATTATTTATTTCTTTGTCTGTTTGTGAACTGTCCATCTTACCTCAAGGTAACTCTGGTGCGGGCTTACAGTCTTAAAGGATAAAAACTTACATAAAATAAAAACAGAAATAAGTTGGCACAAAAAGTCAAACACTGCAGCACAATGAGAAGATGGCGAGGGTAGCAGCAGGGTGGAAGGTGTGTGGGGCAACTTTGCAATGTTTCCACTCTGGCTGATAAGAGAGATCTGCTTTGATCCTTTTTATTGGTTGTATTTACAACTTTTCTCTCCTTCCCCCCCAAAAAAGTTTCAAGCTAGCCAGCGGGGAAGCATGAAAGCAGAACCAAACATTTGAAAACATTAATTCCTAAATGTCACCGCAATAAAGCAATAGGGAAGAAACAGCAGCGGCTCCAAAAATAACTCCCAAGCTCTGTAGATTTTCTTCTAAGAAGCAGATAATTTCTCCCCAAAATGAAAGCTGACCTTTCTTTGGGAAATAAAGCCTAGGTTTGACTACAGAATATGTCTTTAGTCTAAATCAGAGTTAGATGGATTCCTGGGGATTCATGTAAATGAAGGTTCAATCCTCCAAGCCAAAAAGCATCTCAAAAGGTGAAATCATGGCAACTGGACCAAAGTTTATTCAAACGGAGACATTTCGTTACTCACCCAAGCAGCTTCTTCAGGCAAAATGGTGCGGGAGTAGGAATTGATTTCCGGTGGAAAAAATGGCAGACTACAGGAACCAGGAGCACCACTCAGGTGACCCCTGAGGACACAGATAAACCTCCAAGTGGCCTCAACAACCCTCTAAAAGGATGCAGATGACCAGTTCTGTCTGCAAGGAATATAAATCCTTCCCTTCCCCACCATCCTGTCAGAGCTGAAGAAGCTTCTTGGATGAGAAGTGAAACATCTTCAAAGAGAAAAACCAAGGAAGCCCAGTTGCCTCCTGGGAAAAAAGCACCTCTGGGACAACCATGGCCTGGAGGACAGAGAATCTCTATAGACTTACATCCCTAGAGATGGTTCTGATCCTCACCTTGTCTGCTGTCTCTCCTGGCACAGCCAACACTGAAGGCATCTTCACGGTCATCGGCTTGAAGCCAGAGACCATGTACGCCATCCGACTGATGGCCATCAATGGCAAAGGCACCGGCGAGATCAGCTCCCTCTCCGACTTCAAGACCCAGCCAGTTCGTAAGTAAAGCCCTGCTCCTCCCCTGTCGTCTGCTTGGCAACCTCAGCCCTTTCTCAGGCCAACTGCCCATCCTTCACCTCTCACCTGGTCCTCCTCCTCCTCCTCCTCTGGACTCTGTGTCCAGATCCCCCTTCATGTCCCTGAGTTGGAACCTTCTTTTCTGTTTCCTCTTCCGAGAAACTTGTCTTGTTGTTGTTGTTGTTGTTCAAATCCTTTTGTTGAGCTGTGAGGATTGTGGAGAGCACACTATCAGCACCTAGGAATGTATTACTATTACATTACTACCATTAGCTCTGTTGTTGTTGTTTTTTTAAATGCTGGTCCTAATATCTTCTGGTTGATTAGGTCAGTTGGAGGTGGGAGATGGGTTGAGGGAGACAAAACTCTGTTTTTGGGCAGAAGTGGCTGCTATAAGAGATTAGAAGGGTTTTTAAAAAATCCCACCAATTTGGCCTTTGAGCTTTTATTCTCTTGAAACCTGGGCTCATAAGCTACAGATCGTTCTTAACTTATAAGCACAATTGAGCCCAACATTTCTGTTGGTAACCGAGACAGTTACTAAGTGAGTTTTGCCCCTTTTTACAACTCATTTGCCACAGCTGTTAAGTGAATTTGCCTTCCCCACTGAGTTTGCTGGTCAGAAGGTCATAAAAAGGGATCACACAGCCCCCCCAGACAATGCAACTGTCATAAATATGAGTCAGTGGCCAAGTGTCCAAATGTTGATCAGGTGGTCATGATCAACCACGGTGGTCAAGTGTGAAAAATGTCTGCCGAGTCCCTTTTTTTCAGCGTTGTTATCATTTCAAACGGTCACTTAGTGGGTGATTGTAAGTCAAGAACTACCCGTAAAGCAGGTTTGAAAACGTCCTTCCACTTAAGACCTCGTTTGGAGTGGTTTTCAAAGCTCGCCCATCTCCTTCCTGGTCCCAGATCTCAGCTCTGCTGGATCTTCCCAAGAGATCCACGATCTGCTTCAGAATATAGTCCTGTGGCCTTGGAAGATCAGCTTCAGGCGAGGGAGGAGGCGGTCTCTCTCTCCCACGGTGCTTGGAGAGGAAAACTACGGCTGCCTAGCCCTGTCCCATCCTGTGACCGTCGACAGATTTAGCAGCTTCTGCCGACTCGCCTAATTGGCTTTTAAAGCCTCTTCAGCTTTTGCAGGAAGCTTTAGGGCAGTAAATTCAGGCAGGTTTAAAAGTCTGAGATCTTCATTGTTTTATCCAACCCGAGTTTCCCCATCAATTTGTTTCCGGAAATGGCTGCTGACCAAGCGATATGGAAGCATGCATTAAAAACCCTGGCTGGCGGAGAATGGATCGAGTGCAATTCCGTTCAGAACGATGCCGGCTTTGCAAATGGCACGCCTGAATGAGCTGCCTCCCGCTCGCATTTTATATGCCGCAAGACCCCGCCCCCCCAACACACACATACACACACGCACACGCACACGCACACATGCACACGCACACACATGCACACTGTCGAATTCTGGAAGAGCAGCAGGCAAAGGGGGAGGGGGAGTCTGAGGGCCCTGCCAGTGTATTTTTTCCAGCCTCCGAGCCGGGGTGTCCAATCTTGGCAACTTTAAGATCTCTAGACTTCAATTTCCAGAATTCCTCAACGTGGCTGAGGAATTAGAATAGAAGAGAGATGGAGGGGACCTTGGAGGTCTTCTAGTCCAGCCCCTTGGCTCAAGCAGGAGAACCTATACCATATAGACTCTTCTTAAAAGCCTCCAGTGTTGGAGCACCCAAGATTTCTGGTGGCCAGCTGTTCCACTGGTTAATTGTCCTCACTGTAAGGAAGTTCCTCCTTAATTCGAGGTTGCTTCTCTCCTTGCTTAGTTTCCAGCCCTTGTTTCTTGTCCTGCCCTCTCGTGCTTGAATAATTTGACCCCCTCTTCTTTGTGACAGCCCCTCAAATACTGGAACGCCATGATCACGTCGCCCTTAATTCTTCTTTTCTTCAGATGAACCAGGCCCAAATCCTGTAGTCAATTCTGGGAGTTGAAGTCCAAGGTGCCAAGGTTGCACATGCCTACTCTAAGCTTGGTCTTCTTCTCTGGAGAAAGATGGGCCGTTTGACGTCCCGTTTAGACACAGTCCCTGCCCTGTATAATTTGTAAGCTCTGGGAAACTCGGGACAAATTGGATTTATCTCTGAGTCCTTTGAATTGGGAGAGAGAGAGGTTCGTCTATGTAGACCTCTCGATCACCTCCAAGGTGAGATTCAAATAATTTAACAACCGGCTCTCTGCCCTAATGATTTCTTCCAACAACCAGTTCATCAAACTGCTCAGTTTGGTTCTCCCAAAGAGGTGCAAACCAGTTCTCTCAAAGTGGGGAGAACCGGCTCAATTCCACCGCTGGCTGGGTCCCTTTTATCACATTTGGCTATCCTCCTTCCCCTTGCCTAGAGATCATCTCTGCCCCGTCCTCTCTGCTTCTGCTGCCTCTAGCAAAACCCGGTGGCTGTGTGTACGTGTGTGTGTGTGTGTGTGCGTGTGTGTGTGTGTGTTGCTTCCCTCCCACCCCTCTGGCATTCCCCATCTCACCTCCCCCCTCTTCGACCCTCGTAATAATTCATTAAGCAGGGGGCAACCGACCTTACATTTCCATCTGGAGCAGCGTTTTTATTTTAGAAACACCTCTGGGTCTTGCAGGATGCGTTCTTAAACAAACGGAAACACGAGATCTTGCAGATGAGCTGAGTTTGGAAGGAATGCCCCCCCCCCCCCACCCCCGCCAAAAGAAAAAAAAAGGATGGTGGGGGGAGAAAAACTAAAGAAACTGGGCTTCCTGCAGAATTCATTGACGTGGGAATAACCTCCCCGTTTACGACTCCTGGTCCCTTCCCCCTCCTTAGCTGCGGTTTTCCGATGGGTAACCTGAACCCACAACTCTTGCTTGCCACGAGTTGAAGGGTGGCCCATTGTGTAGTTGTCGCCTTACCCTTATTCTCCCTGAAAACCTGGTCGGCCTCCTGAGGAGCTAGTCCTCAGCTAGACAGGCGTCCCAGGGTGTTGCCTTGTTTTCAGCGTCTTCGTCCATCGACTCCTTTTTTTTCTTTTTTCTTTTTTTCATCTCTTTTGCCTCTTTTCTCTTTTGGGGGTCTGTCTTTTCTTTACATTCGTCTTCTGCCTATGGGGGAACTGCAGGCCTTCCACCACCACGTAAGTGCTGCTTCCTTTTCCCCGCTCCGAGTGCCCTGGCTTTAACGTGTCCCGTAGATCCATGTGTGGTTTCTCCTAACTTTTAACTTAATTCCTCTCTTTGGCTTTGCTTCTCTTTCTCCGTAGAAAGAAAGTAGCGGGTAAATCATTTCTCCTAACAATACTGACTCTAGAGTGGCTGTCGTGTTTCCCATTAACACCTGGTCAAGAGGTGAATGCTCTCCTTTCCCCCTCCCTCTGGAGCATGCACCTTGCCTGTATCTGCATGAGACCCAGTTGGAGTGGAGGTGTCTTTCCTTTTCTTTCTCTTCCCTCTTCTTATCCTTCCCTTATCCTTTCTATCTTCTCTTCTCTTGTCCCATCCCTTCCCTCCAGCTTCTCTTCTCTTCCCTTCCCTGCCTCTCTCTTCTCTTCTTCCCTTCCCTTCCATCCTTCTTCTCTTCTCTTCTCTTCTCTTCCCTGCCTCTCTCCTCTCTTCTTCCCTTTCCTTCCATCCTTCTTCTCTTCTCTTCTCTTCCCTGCCTCTCTCCTCTCTTCTTCCCTTCCCTTCCATCCTTCTCTTCTCTTCTCTTCTCTTCTCTTCTCTTCTCTTCTCTTCTCTTCTCTTCTCTTCTCTTCTCTTCTCTTCTCTTCTCTTCTCTTCTCTTCTCTTCTCTTCTCTCCTCTCCTCTCCTCTCCTCTCCTCTCCTCTCCTCTCCTCTTCTTCCTCCATGGCAGGGACATGCAATATTGACACCCCCAAACTATCTCAGGCAAGGGTGCTACATTCTGCCAAACCCTGTTTTGTGACCAAAAAAAAATTGTTCAAGACAGATACAAGGAGGGAAATAGCAGAAATAGCTCAGGCAATGACAGAGGGGGAAATATAAAAAGGCAGATCTTTTCAAGAAAGATCTATAGCAATGGCACTCCGACTTATATACCGCTTCACAGTGCTATTACAGCCCTCTCTAAGCAGTTTACAGACTCAGCCTCTTGCCCGCTACAATCTGGGTCCTCGTTTTACCAACCTCAGAAGGACAGAAGGCTGAGTCAACCTGGAGCCTGGTGAGATTTGAACTGCCAAATTGCAGGCAACCAGCCATCAGCAGTTGTGACTTGCAGTACTGCATCCTAAGCACGGTGCCACCACAGCTCATCTATAAGTAGAAAGTAGGGGGGAAACTTCATAAGAACATAATTAATCTGTCCACAATTTGAATTTAGTTTAGAGTTCGAAAACCATTCCCTAGAAGAGAATATTAGAAACTATCCCTCTCTATCTATCTTCATTCATGTAACTGAGAATCATCTCCAGGCATCTCCAACCTTGACCACTTTAAGACTTGTGGACTTCAACTCCCAGAATTCCCCAGCCAGCCTGGCTGGCTGGGGAATTCTGGGAGTTGAAATCCAAAAGTCTTAAAGTAGCCAAGGTTGGAGACCCCTGATCTACAGTAACTGGCAGGAGTGGTCATTCCCATTCTGGCTTGGTTTGAATTTGGGTGCCATCCTTGGATTAGGAGTCTTAGAGGCCTCTTAAGATTCCAGACCATTGGAATGTACCCTTTACTCTTCTCCTGCCTTAACTGTAGGTGAAAGGTCTTCCAGCAGGAAGCATAACGTGGTTTCCTAACTTCTCTTTCAATGAAAAATATGTATGCAAGAGCATTCTGGTGGATGTGAGCAAAAAGTGTGGGAGATTGCCAATTGCCATGGTTGACAAGCAGGAGGCCAAAGAGGGCAATAGCCCTTCACTGGATGGTTTCCCACATGTGACATGCTGATGATGATTTAGCTAGTGTACCTAAGAGCAATGCCTATACTTGTGGAAGTCCACTTTAT